GTTTCACAGACAAGGCTTAAGCCTAGTCCCAGACTGTTTCAACTGAAATAAACTTGCACTGACTGGTCTTAAAATATATCAGTGCCATTGTTTTGTCTGAAGATGTACACCAGTAATGCTTTTTCTAAGACACGTTTATAAAAATGACTTAAATGTCCTAATTGAACTATGGCCTAATCCTGGTTTAGTCTAAGCCCTGTCTGTGAAGCCAGGCCCATATTTATAGATTTTTATTATTATTTTGTATTAGTGAAATACATCCTGCCCTTGTTTTTGTGCGATTGGACATTCATTCATGATTGTTTTAAAGTGTTGTAAAGTGAAGCCCAATCGCCGTCTGCAGAGTCGTGCTTCACTTGAGCTGTAAATTAGGTAATTAGCTGCATAATTGGCCGAATTAAAGCTCCAATCAGTGAAGCTTTTGCTGTCAGAGGTCCTCCAGGTAACTTAAATCAGCTGCCGCTCGAGACTTTTGCATTCATTCAGGAATTTTCATCTCAACTTCCCAATGCATTATATTAATGAGAAAGATGTATAGAATTTGCGGAAAAAATGTGAGGGTTTTTTTTGCTCATGAAACCTTTTTTGGATACAAATTTAATTTAAATTTAATTTCATACTCTGAAGGAAGAGCAGCTTCATTATGGTGTGTTTTCCTCTCAGACACGTCTGTCTGGTGCCTGCTGAGACGAATCAGGTCACCTGTGCTTCAAATCGCTCTTCAGGTCTGCTTCATGTCTGAGTTTGTCCTCTGGAGTATTAGAGACGTGTGCTTTAGTTTCCAGGGTCTTCAGGTTCATGAAAGTGAAATTGTTTTTTTTGTTTTTTTTTTGCATTGATGCAGTCGTTATCAGTGATGAAATGTCCAGACAGAGCACTTTTACATTTTAATTGACGAGGCAATGGATGTACAGACCCTTTCAGTGTGTGTGTGTGAATTAAAGCCCCCCAAGTGTTTTTGGATAAATAATAAATTAATTTTAGTTTATTTTATTTAACCCATGAAACCTTTTTTGGATACAAATTTAATTTAAATTTAATTTGGACGATAGGTATATAAGTAAAAACTATTTTGTGTAGAGAAGTGAAATTTATTAAATAAATTTGTGAAATAAGTAAAAGGTATTATTATTATTATTATTATTAATATTTTACCATAGGTTTGTGAGAAACAGATAAATATCAACATTTCTAAAATTAATGCAAAACTACAACAAAACAATAGATCATTTAATTGCCAAATATAACTAATAACAATTTAGTCATTATATATCAACATATCCAAAGTTAAAAAGTCAGATTAGTTATTGGACGCTCAAACATCAAAATAAGCAGACAAAAGCTGAGCGCACAGTCGTTTGGCGTACTTAGCGTTAGCAAGTAATAGGTAAATGCTGTTTGTAATGTGTTAATATGAAAGTCAGAGTTTAGGAGATTCCTGTATGCTGACAAGCCTGCTAGCTGAATAGAAACAGTATAAAAAAACAGTGGTTAGGGTTAGTTTGACATTAACCACGTTTGGTTTTACAGACGTATCGACTAGCGGTTAGCCACTCAGACCCCACGCGCCCTCCGTTGGGCGCCATGTTCGAGTCTTATCTCTGGCTCTCAGAAAGACCCACTGTCTGTGCGATTAATCGCGCATGTTCGCTCCAGATGGGATGTCATGCTAGTGTTTGTCACCAGCCAGCCGGACCCCTGAAACAATGGCTGTGGTGCTCCTCAGGGGCCCGGTGATGCCCCGAGCGCGGCCCGTGGTGGATTCAGCTGGCGTCCGTACGGAGGGGACCGGAGCCTATCGGCGGGAACAGACGTGTGGGGTATTTCCTGTGGTCCCGAGGACGGACACGTGCTGAGAAAAACCCTTGAAGATGAAGATGGAAGCGGGTCTGACAGTAACGGGTTGACTAGCGGCGTCGTCAGATGTCGGAAATGAAGAGTTCAGCCAAAAATGAACTCGCCTGTTTTTAACCTGTATGCTTGTGTTTTGTTGTTTGGTAGAACACGAAATAAGACATTTCTGTGCAGTTTTATCATATAATGGACTGTGCAATCAAATCTCGTTCAAAGTGGTGCGTTGCATTTACTTACGACACTCGAGAACCAATAACGTCAAACTTAATGCAATGCTTCAATATATCTGAATGCAGATGCAAATGATTTTTCAGAGCTGTGCAGAGGGAAAAGACTGTCATTGAGGAAAGATTTTTGTCTATAATTGGATTGTTTGAATAAATAATAATTATATAATTAATATTAATTCTAATTAGTATTTTAAAAGATGCAATCTAAAATTTTAAAATGCAATATGCATTAGATTTTTATTATTATTATTATTATTATTAATAGATTTATATTATAAATGTAAAATGTTTAATTGAAATTTTTTGTTGTGTTTTATTATTTCAGATGTAATCTAATATGACAGTATGCATTGCATTTAATAATAATAATAATAATGCATGTTTTCTTTTGTAATTTTAATTTTAGAAGTTTTACATTTTGTATTTATTTTTATTATTTCAGATGTAATTTAAAATAATGATAACATGCATCATATTTTATAATAATAATATTGCTTTTTATAATTTTAGATTTTTTTTAGAAATGTTACATTTTGTATGTTCTGTTATTTCTGATGTAATCTAAAATGACGATAACAGCAGCATATGCATTTTATTTTATAATACGATAATAATATTTAATAATAATATAATGTATATGTTGCTATATGTTGTAAGTTTACATCAATTTTAGAAGTTTAAAATTCTTTGTTCCACCATTATTATTATTTCAGATGTAATCTAAAACGATAATGAAAACAACATATGCATCATATTTCAGAATGATGTATATGCCGCTTTTGTAATTTTATATTAATTTTAAAAGTTTTAAATTTGTGTGTTTCCATTATTATTGCTGTTGCTGTCATTTTCTTTGAACTATTATTATAAACACACATAATATTTTTAATAAATAAAATGTAATGCATATTGATTTAGTATTTTTTTTTTTGATAATTTGTTTAAATATTTAAATTGTATATTCCTTGCACAAATTATTATTATAAAATATAATGCATATTACGTTGTTTTTGTTTATTTTTGGATTGTTTAAATTTCAAAATTCTTCAGACTTCTTTTCTGGTACTTTTTCTGCACTCCGTGGGTCGAGTTTGCAACGATGTGATGTAACGTGAGTAAATGATTTTACACAAACTATTCCATTTACTTAATCCCCCCAAACCTGCTTGTAGCACCTGGATCACATATTCGGCTCTTCATATCTGCTCTCTGCTATTCTGTTCGATTCCCAGAATATGATTGAAAATGCAGCGATTGAGCAGGTGTCTCCCGAAACCGCTGCTTCTTCTGAATGTACTGGTTAAGTGGCTTTGCCAGGCATGAGAGTGGCAGTTTTCCCATCCTCTCAGGTGTAATGGATAATTCCAAGCCTAACGCTTTTTAATATTGCATTTCCGATATTAAACACTTTGTCAGCTCACTGCCTGGAGGAGAGACACTACTATGACAGATGATACAATTTCCCACTCGTTAAAAATGCAGGAGACTGTGTCTAGAAACGCGAGGTGACGCGGGGACACGTCCCTCTTGCTCCGGCCCGCGTCGTCCATCATTGCAGTCCGGTGTTCAGATTAGGCCGCGTGTGTCCAGATCTGGGATTTGAGCTCTTCGGGTGTGCCTGAGGTCAGCACAAGCAGGACAGGAGTTATTGTTGGACTGCTTCATTGTTTAGACGACCAATAAAAGAGTCCACTTAGCTGGAGGGAGCCGGTCGTCTCGCTAATCAGGTGTGAGCAGCTTCCGCTTTCTCTGTGAGACAATTTTTCACAGCTAGTCACAAAATAGGCGAAGTCACACCTAAAAAGTCTGAAAGTCTTTGCGTTAGAGAACAGAATATCAACTGAAGTGTGTGTTAGTGTTAGCTAACAATTTCTGACTGACTTTTTAAGAAGCTGCTGTTAAAGTGATTTTTGATCAATTTATAAAGCCAATTGACCCTATTTTGATAATTTATTAGTATTATTAATAATTAAAATGCATGCTGCTTTAGTAAATTTAGCTATTATTATTATTATTTCATATTATTATTATAGTTTATTTTTGACAACAAAAACGACACATGCATTCTATTTTATAATAACAAAAATAAATAATAATATTAATAACATTGCAATTGCTTTTGTACTTCTAGACAAATTTTAGAAGTTTTGCATTATGTTCCTTTTTTAGCTTTTCTAAAATTACATTAAAACATGCATTTTATTTTAGAATAATTATAATAAAATATAATGATTCACCCAAGTGGGCAGATGTTTAGCTGGAAAGCTATTAGAGTCTTCATAATAGCATGCTAGCTGAACAACCTACTCTACAGTCCATAATAACTAAAGTATGGTGAACACAATGAAAGCCACTTCGACATTCACCTCTAAGATTGCGTCAAGCATGTGCTTTATATTTTTAGCTACCTGCCCTAGTAATTGCTAGTTATGCAATATGCACACTTTCTTTGAGAACATATATATATATATATATATGTATGTGTGTGTAAAACGAACACGCTCTCTAGCTCCAGAACTGCCGCCTGCCTCCGTATGACACTTCATATGCTTTACCGAAGGTGTCAAAGGTCAACTGACTCATTGATGGAACGACGAGGCCTGCAGCCCGAACCTCCTCTCAGTCCCTTAGATCCTTCTCGACATGTGTATTTTTCTCGACTCCCATGATGCAGAATGTCATCTCCACTTCTGCTCTCTCTGACACGGCGGCGGGAAGCAGTGAGACAGGGAGTCATTAACGCGTCCCTCTCTCCGGCGAGTGTGGACCGGGACACCTGCGTTGTGCCACATGGCCCTACGGTGCTAATTGGTGCAACAGCACGTCATAAATTAGAGGGCAGGGTGAGGGTGTGAAGGACAGATTCAACAGCTCTGGCCTTTCGCGAGGAATTTCACGCCGCATGAACAAGCCAATCACTGGGCAGTACAGACGACTACTCTGAAACAAAAAGTTATGACAGCCCAGACCTCCTCTCAGTCCCTTGGATCCTTCACTACATGTGTGATAGATGGTTGGGTAGTTGGATGCATGGATGTATGGATGATAGATGTTTGAATAGATAAATGGATGGATAGAAGAGTAAATAGATATGTAGAAACATTGATGAATGGATGGATAGACGATTGATGGGTAGATGAATGGATGATGGATAGATAGATGGTAGAAAGATGGGTGGGTGGATGAATGGATGGATGGATGGACGGACTATGTATAGTTGAACGGATGGGTGGATAAATTGATGGGTAGAAAGATGGGTGGGCAGGTGGATGGATGATGGATAGCTGGATGGGTCGATAGATATGTAGAAGAGTAGAAAGAATGATAGAATGATGGATGATAAATAGATTGATGGGTTGATAGAAGGATGGATGGATGGATGGATAGAAAGATGGGTGGGTAGGTAGATGGATGGATAGGTAGATGGAAATATAGATGAAAGGATTCATGGATGGGTAGGTAGATATGTAGATGGGTGTAAAGATGGATGGATAGGCATGTAGGTAGATGGATGAATGGATGTACAGATGGATTGGTAGATATGTAGATGATAGAAACAATGAGAGATGGATGGATGGATAGATGGTAGAAAGATGGGTGGGTAGGTGGATGGATGGATAGAAGAGTAAATAGATATGTGG